CTGATCAGAGGACGCTGATCAGAGGACGCTGATCAGAGGACGCTGATCAGGGGACGCTGATCAGAGGACGCTGATCAGAGGACGCTGATCAGAGGACGCTGATCAGTTCCTCTTGTCACCATCCTGGGAAATGGGCACTTAACTGATTCCCTTGGATAGAGAGAGAGAACCATTTTAAAGTTGCACATATCTGTTAGACATTAGTCACTTTATTTTTCACCAGTGTGCTGTTCATTCTGATTACTGATGCTTCTCTCTGTGCTAAATGATACAAGTACAGAATGTGCTTCTGCCCAAGGGCTGTAAGGTGTCCAGCTAGGCGATATTTAGGAATTCCTGTATGTTGGCTTGCATGACGATGGAGATGAAATGCACGTGGCAGAGGGGGGTTTTCAGAACACCAGCTGATCAGTGACAACGCGCTGATGGACAGTTAATAAACCCTCTCGTGCTGCTCGACGAGGTGATTGCAGGCGTGGTGCTCCAGATGTCAAACACTCACACTTTTGGCCATAATTCCCCAAAGTGTGTTGCCACGGTGATCGCATGAGACAAATCAAGCAACCCTGACTGGGTGCTGAGGCTTGTGCCCCATGTGCTTATGGCCTCAGCATCTAACATCTGCATTTGTCTGTTTTGCAACAAACAGCCTGAATCGCCCAAGCAAGTGAAGCTGCAGGCAAGTCTTCCTTCTCTCTCTCTCTCTCTCTCTCTCTCTCTCTCGCTCTCTCCATCTGGCTCATGTGCATGCACCTCTAACTTCCTATCGTTAGCCACATTTAGGGGGTCAGTGCGAGGATATTTGTTTGCATCGTCCAAATCTGCTGTCAAATCTATTTTTGGCTGTGACCCTGCATCGGTTAACAAAATATGTATGTTCTATGTTTGAGGAATCTTTTCTGTGTTGTTATACAATTGGGACCCTGGCAGGGAGGAAGAAGCAAACAAATATTAGTAGTTGACTCACATCTGATTTATCAGTTATTGTTCAGCTTTAAGATACCTGATGGTAGGATTTCTGTTTTCCATAAGTTTGTATGTTTCCCTGTCCACTGTTCTGTATGTTTGTTTATTTTTATGTCTTGGCAGCCGTTAATCGCTGCAGTCACATGTTCAATAAATCATGTCCTCATTCCTGGCATTTTGTCTGTTTTTGGTTGAACACTGCAATTAAGTCACACTGGTTTGTTATAAATTAGCCTACAGTGTCCTTTAAATACCCTTTTCCCCACGTTTGGTTTACAGCATGTGTAAGAAGTGTTGTATACGGGTTCAAAGACAATGTATTCAGTTCAGTGTCAGTCTAACAATGAGTCTTTGCTCATTTACTGTACATGACTCAGGTTAGTTAGGTTGGGAAATGGAGAGAAGTATTTTCTCTCTTCAACTGTAAATTTTTAATGACTCAATCTTTAAGCATAGGCTTGCATTCGTCCAGGGCAAGGCACCTCTAATACATTGCTCAACCCTTATGGATAAATAGAGGCCTTGATGCTCTTAGAGGCAGAGCTGCCTCTGATCTGTGTCGAGGAAAAGTGCTGCCCTGATGAAATTCTAAGATGTGAGAAAGTGATTCAGCTCACTGGGAGAGACACTGTAGCAGGAAGAAGGTAATTAGCTGTCCCCGGTCTGCTTGGCACAGGCAAAAAGAAGTGGAACCCTCCACTCGCTTAATGAAATTCAGCATCTTAAGTGAGTGTGTGAATCTGTAGGGCAACTAAGGTCCAAATCAGTGAATGTGGTCTACATGTGGCTAATTGCCTCTCTCAACGTGGGATCCATTCCATACTGAAAGAACCACCCACAGCTTATGGAGGGTCTTCAAACACACGGACAGAATTAGTGACCTGCCCTAGTTTGACTCAATAGGCTGATTTAGTTTATATAATGACTTTCAAAGCAAACTAAATGCATCGGCCTTTATGCGTTCTGATTTGTCAGTCCTCCTCATTTTCTTGAACGTTTTAAGTTTATTTTTTGCATGCAGTATGCATTGCCTGACTGTGTATATATTTGAAGTTTTCATGACTGTTAACACTTGTCTGTTTCCATGGAAACATTTTGACACTGCTCATTGGCTACAGAGTGGACTCCTGTTCTATGTGAGTAGCATGTAGTCCCTTCCTCCCTGTGCTCCTCCCACCTTGGCCAGCCTGCAGGGGGCTGTTGGGGATGCCATCTCTGTTCACCGCCCAGATGATCTCACTCCTTGCACGGTTTAATTGTCCGCACAACTGATTAGAAGTCTGCTTTTTCCAAATAAAAATAATAATAATCCAGTATTAAGCGTGTAAGTAACACTATGCACAGATTTCTCCTTTAAATTTTGTTTTTTTGGCGACAGATTTACTTTTCTAGTCGCTTCAGTAATTTTATTGCCTCAGCTAATTGAATCAATTCAGTTCTGGAAAATAAAAATCCGTCTCACAGACGTAACGTGCTGTTCTGTGCGTGCGCAAGGTCCATTGTGTCTCTTCCGTCACAAGTGCACCAGAGAGGAATGTGTGCAGCATTCTAGGTTGCCAGATATGCTGGGAAGTGGTCGCCAGAGGGCTGCAAGGTAGTAATGTACAGGATAGGAATAGCCAAAGGGACAACAAGAGCTGCAGGTTTCTATGGCAGCGGGCAGCTGTTGCCATTGCATTCAAGAAGCCAGGCTTGAAATGCTATGTTTGGAAATCATTAAACCCTTACCCCCACCTTGAGTGTTTTATGAATGGGAAATAGGTGCAGCTTTCTGTGTGAAGTAGCTAGGTAATGATTATCATGCTCACAGATATGACGGTGTGTCACAGCTGGGAGGCCATGATTGTAAGGGTAAAACCTGGCTTGTGCTGCGTTGAGCAGCTCATCCTATATTTGTCTTGTCGTAATTAGTCTCCTGAAGAGAATTGCAGTGCACCTCATGTGCTTCCGAATTGCACTCCTGCTGCGTCTCGCAGTCTCTCACACAGACGCACACACCCCCTCGCTTTGTTCCTCAGCTTGCTACATGACTATGGGATCTGTTGGATCCTGGAGACCTGCTTGATTAAGGTCTGCCCCCTCTGTCTGGTATCTCTTACAGCTACGCTGGGTATTTTCACAAAGGCCCTGGCTGCAGATCTGCGACGCGTCCGTTCCAGTCTCCCTGCGCGCGCCGCTGAATTCTCTTTTAAAAGACGGTGTTGAACGCCATTGCCGGAATGCGTACGCAGAGCCAAAAAACCGCTAAGTTCTGTATGAATAGAGAGATTTCCATAAAAGGAGATAAAACGCTGAGCGCTGGACCTGGGCCACGGGGCTCCACCTGTCCAAACACTCGCGGGTCGCTGTTTGTTCAGCCCCAGCCGGCCGCTCTTCAGCAGGTGTGAGTGTGCTGAACCCCCCCCTCCCAGCGGATGGGTGACGAGGCCTGATTACTCCCGATAAGATCCACAGGGGGCTGCCTTCCTGGCCCGGAACGTGAACCCCCCTGTGCATAACCCCCCTGTAGTGTGGGGGCTGTCAGGGGCGAGTCGGTGAGAGACGCTGCACTTTCATTTTTCTGCAGCTGATACTTCTCCTAGAAAATCTTAATTATGTCATTGGATTCTACTATAATTTTTATTTTAGTAGGTTAAAGTTAGTTTTTCATAGTGATGCTGTAATCAAATGACCAGTTAAGTGACAAAACTTAGACTAGTTTATATTTATACATGTATATAAATCGCATACACACACACACACACATTATATATATATATATATATATAATGATTAATTTGTCTTACTGGTGCTCATAGCTTGCTCTGCATCCCTGATTCTTCAGCCAAAATGCAAATTTGTCTAAAGTGAAGTTTTTGAGAAAACATGGTTTTCAAGATGACCTGGAGCCAGAGTAACTGCACAGAGCAGAGCGATGTGGACACACAGCAAACCCTGGGCCATTCCACCTTGGACCTGGGATCTACTGAACACAACTGAGCCGTTTCCCCACATTCTAAGCACATCTGGATAGGAGGCTGGCAGGAAACGTTCAGTTCCAGCACGGGTTGGTGAGCTGAACCATATGCTCCACCCCCCCCCCCACCTTGGTGATCTGCTGTGTACCTCCCTGAGCTTCTATCGGGGTGGTCCAAGGGTTCGAATCACAGCAGACAGCATGGAGTGTGAGCTGCAGTCCCTGTGGATGCCTTGGTGTAGGTTAACAACCTTACCTCTGGATGACAAAGCTGATCTCTATCCCCCTGGGGGGGGGGTTCCGGATTGGGGTGGGGTGTGGGACATATGTTGCCTATAACCGTAATTAATAGCTGACCAGGCAGAAAAGCAGGGTTTGGTGCAAAGGCCAATTTGTCACGCCTCCTGCCTCAGGATTCTCTGAGGGTAATTGTTGAATTATTTGGAAAAAGCAGATTCCACGCTGAAGTCACCCACCCCCACCCCCCACACGCGAGCTGTCGCTTGACCATCAACCTAATCCCGCTTCGCTTTGAAGGAGAACTTGTCGTTATCCGAGCTACAAGTGCATGGTGTACTGAAGGAATGGCTCCTAATAGAAATCAGCCTGTTGTGCTTAAGTATTGAAGCTGTTATCCCCCTTGACCGCCAAAGGAGAGCGCCTGAGCACTTTGGAGGAGCCGTGGCTAACTAACACGCTGAGAGTCTCTGCTGGTTTCCTTGGCATGCGTCTTGGATGAGCTCATCCTCTTTAATGTCCTAACACTAGTTTTCTTCCTGTTCTAACTGGTCAAGCTGTGGCAGTGTCCCAAATCTTAAACACTCTTCCCCAAAAAGGAGAAAGTTCGGCTTAGTTGTTCTTCCTGTGACCCTTTCGCTTCTGTGGACAAATGCGGGAGCGGTGGTGGTTCTGTGGAGGTGGTTTTGGTTGTTTTTCTTTCTTTAAGGTCAGCCTTTCTGCTCATTTCTGTGGCTGGGCCTCTGTCTGGGGTCTTATCTTTTTTTTTTTTTTTCCGGTAACATCTCCTTACCTTCCAGGGTGAGCTGGAACGACAGCTTTTGCAAGCCAACCCCATCCTTGAGTCCTTTGGCAATGCCAAAACGGTGAAGAATGACAACTCATCCCGATTTGTAAGTTAACCCCAGATTCTGGCCTGTTCTGAAACACCGCCTGTACGTCACGCGTTCGAGCGGATGCCTGGCTGTACCTATGCCGACCGCTCTCTGCTCGACGGACATCACACTACCAGCCATCTGCGGGTTAATGAAAGCCTAGAAGACACGGATGTGCAGTGGCGTCACACTCCCCCGATTGCTCAGAGCATTACGAAACACTGAGCAGTTTAATTACAATTAGATTATTTCAGTTTTCCTGTAGGTAATTCATTGTCATTCCGGAATGCTCTGACAGCGTCTGGGAATCATTTATGGACCTGCGTGTCTGTTGTGAATCTGGGCCTGGCCGTATCGTACCTGTGAGGCCCATCTCACTGATGCCAGTGAAGCAGATCTCACCTTGTCGTCGCTTGCTTTATAAATCCTGTGGCCGTGTGAGGACTCGGCCAGTTCAGCTGGCTGCTGGACCCTGAAGACCGAGTCTGTTGCATTAAAGGCCGTGGGATTTAAAAATGCAAGCTGCCTCAATCGAGCTTTGAAGTGGTATGGTGGCTTTGGGACCAGAGCTTGGGGTAGGAAGGCTGCAGTTGGGTAGGACCTGAATGTGGATCTAGGCACTTACCCTGAACTGCCTGTTTTTAATTACCCAGCTGTTTATAATGGTGGGGGATCCCTTAAAGGAATTGTGGACTACCCACCTTCACAGTGGCTGTCAGTATTTAATATAATGCCTTACGCACATGGACAACTCACATGCCTGAAATACTTCTGATTATTTGACCATGGTAATACCATCCTGTTTGGGGGTGTAAGGTGGTGTAACCCCTCTGGGATGCACTGATCCTTTGAGTAGCTGTAATGTGCTCCAGGTCTGGAATTTGGCCTGTATTTTTGGAACAGCCCTGCTGTTTTGTGTGTCTGCTAGTCGCCCCCCCCCCCGCAAATCCCTCCCCGGTTAAGTAGGGGATAAGTCTATGAGCAGGATTCAGACAGGTCCTGCTCATCTGATCTGTGCTCCCCTCCTCCGTTGACCTCATTCAGGGCAAGTTCATCAGGATCAACTTTGACGTCACTGGTTACATCGTGGGGGCCAACATCGAGACCTGTATCCTGCCTTCCGTGCTGCTGGGCGTGCGGCTCACCACTGTGTCCTGTTGAGTAGCCACTTGCCGCAAGTTGGGATTTTCCACACATGGATTCCATGTGTTTGATGCATCTCCTGCTTTATAAGTCTTGTGCTCTTAGCAATTTAACTGAAATGTTGTGTTAGACCATGGGCTGACACTCTTGTTTTCACACAAGTTTTTTTTTAAATTAAATATATATATAGACACACACACCAGCACCAGCTGCCATATAGTTCTGGACCATTCTGTTCTGCAGAGACCTGCGGCCGGTTTCATTGATTACATAACTAGGAATAGGTAGCGTTAAAAGTGCTAATGTAGATTTTCTGAATCTGGATGTTCTATGTCAGTGTGAAGCAGTGGCCTGCTGGTGCAGCCCCCCAGGACTGGAATCCTAAGGAGCATATACCCTGGGGCTGTTTTAAGACACTGCAAATAGTGCATTTTTGATGGTGGTTCAGTCTTTGTCCAGTGACCGCATTTAAGGAGTCATTTTTGTATTTAAATATTAATAATAGTGATTTAAGGGCGGTTCCATGCAGTTGTTTGTTAGTCTAAATGTCACATCCCTAATGCTGGAATTGTCCTTAAATTGAGAAGTATATACTTGGGATGAGGAGATGGACCGGAATCTGTATCCCAAACTTGTTTTACCAGATTCCTGTTTGTTGGGAGTCATATCAAACAGGGGTTTCTGTACCTGTCTGTGAGAGAGAGATGCACTGCAGTAAGTCTTGGTGCAGTCCTTGACCCAAGTCCAGACCTGCTGGAGAAGTCCCGAGCCATCCGGCAGGCCAAAGATGAGCGCACCTTCCACATCTTCTACCAGCTCCTGGCTGGTGCTGGGGAGCACTTGAGGTGTAAGTATGAGCCCTGTCCACCTGTCCGTGTACTAGGCCCAAGGGAACCTTGTGCCCTGTGTATACCCTGTGTATGTCCTGTGTATGTCCTGTGTATACCCTGTGTATACCCTGTGTATACCCTGTGTATGCCCTGTGTATGTCCTGTGTATACCCTGTGTATGCCCTGTGTATGCCCTGGGCCTTTACAGTCATTGACTGTCTGATTAAAACCATTTTATGTCCTTAGTCTGTCAATGCAATGGGTTTTTTCCATCTAACATTCCAATATTTCAAAATGAACTTAGCTCTTTGAAAATACTTGGTAGTAGCTTTGATTCTCAGCAAATACAAAATGCTTTCCAGAATATCTGAGGTGTTGCATGGTTTTTATATATCAGTGATGGTTAAGTGATTTTTTTTTTTTTTTCCTTTTCCTCTGCTCAGCTGATCTGCTCCTTGAAGGATTTAACAACTACCGCTTCCTGTCCAACGGCAACATCCCCATTCCTGGGCAGCAGGACAAGGACAATTTCCAGGAAACCATGGAGGCCATGCACATCATGAGCTTCTCTCACGATGAGATCTTGTGTAAGTACACACCTCTTTCCATTGACTCTGGCTCACAGGAAGGTATTCAGCGAATTCCACCCCAGAATGACATGAAAATTGATGGTTTTAGGACTTCTGGTTTTTTTGAAAATGTTCCAAGGACATTTTCTCAATTTTTCCCTACAAGGAGTTGGCCGCCGTGCTGTTTTTGTCTGTGTGCTGCATGATTTTATGAACATCCTTCCTTGTTGCAGCCATGCTGAAGGTGGTCTCATCAGTGCTGCAGTTTGGCAACATCGTCTTCAAGAAAGAGAGGAACACCGATCAGGCCTCCATGCCTGAAAACACAGGTAACGAAACGGGAAGCAAACTGATTGCGTAGATAGAATCAGCTGTTGGTCAAGTTTGAAGTAGGGATGGGGCCCCTTGGTGTTAGAGGGAGGTATACCGGCCCTAGCCGTCAGGCTCTCGTGGTGGTGATCGGCCGGCACCTGCTTTGGTGTGGAAAAGGTCTCATTTAAGCCAAGAGATATGAGAGAGTGGTGTTCTAGCGAGGTTTAATCCTCAAACGGAGCCAGTTGCTTTTGCTATGCATCACGTCATGACGGCTTCACTTTCCAGAACTTCCTCCATGAAGAAATGAACGCCCTCTAAATCTTTCAAGAATTTGCGATAGCAGAAAATGTCATAAATCAGTCTGACTTGCCCTAGAATATAACAACCCCCCTCCCCTTTTTCAAAAAAGCTTTTCATACCTGTGGGGTTACAGAATGGAGAATTGGTGCTCATTTTTGGATAATGTTTTATACCCCTAACAGTGTTGTTGGCATTTTCATATAAAATCTGTAAATGGCCTGGAATAGTAGTTGATACGTTTTTGCAGGGTGGTCTCAGTTGGAAATATGTAATGCTTTCATTGGTAATACCTCATAGTGACGGCTCTCCTAGGCAGGTGGGGGTGGTCCTGGGTTCTGTGACCTCACACTGATGTCATCGCTGCCCTCATCCTCCCTTTACGCGCACAGCCGCACAGAAGCTGTGTCACCTGCTGGGGATGAATGTGATGGAGTTCACCCGCGCCATCCTGTCCCCTCGCATCAAGGTCGGCCGAGACTACGTCCAGAAAGCGCAGACCAAAGAGCAGGTACTTTGGAACCTCCTCGGCACCTCAGCCGTGCCCTATGGGGGTTCTGCGTGTCCTGCCTGTGCAGGCACACATCTGGCTCATCGTCCCAGTATTTTCTGTGCGTGTATGCTGGGGTATTCAAGGCTACTGATATTTTCTACATCGCTGGGTCATGAGAAAAGCACTCATTTTCTTTTACCTTGGGGTTAGACTGAAACAACGGTGAGGAAATCGCAGTGGTGGCCTAGCGATTAGAGAAGATTTGTTCTCAAAAACACATCCAGGCTGGGGGGGCCAGTGGTGTTTCTGCTTGCCTCTATGAGCAGAGTGTGCTGTGAACCACAGGAGAAGATCGCGATGGTGCCTTATCTGGAATGCGGGGCTGGAATGCATCTTTTAGGTTAAATTTAGAATATAGGTCATCTTAACCCATTATATTTAATATTTAATATAAATTATTTTGGGTAATGGGTCAGCAGAAAGTGCTGTGTGTTGATAATGGACTTGTGGTTAATTAATTAATATTGGTTAACATGTTGATAGCCAGTCTCACCAAGGCACAATATGACAGATGTTTTTTTTTTGTATAAAAATGTCTTTTTACTGTGTACCTTTGACAGCAGATATCACTAGCTAGTTGACTTTGGGCTGTAAATGCTTCTTGGCTTTTTGGAAAATAAACAGCAAAGGAATGTTATGGAGCATATATCAGCTTAAACTGAGCGTAATATTGGATTCAACAGTGGGGAACGCTTCCTGTTTTTATTTCAGAAGGTCCATTCAAGATAAATTATTTAAGAATACATTTATTTTGAGATTCTTTCACTGTCAAAAGCCCAGATCTGATCAAAGGAGCCTTTAATGAATGATGGTTTAACCCCGTTAGAAATGAGCCCGAAGTGGCACTGCAGGGCTGAAGATGCAGACTGCTGCTCTGCCCCATCTCTCTGCATGCAGACTGCTGCTCTGCCCCATCTCTCTGCATGCAGACTGCTGCTCTGCCCCATCTCTCTGCATGCAGACTG